GGAGACCCTCACAGACCTTCGGTTCACCCCCTGTTCCGCATGGTCCGCGGCGGCGCTACATGCATCCGTAGGCCCCCCTATTCTTGTTCGAGAAAGGCGGCGGGTCGGAGAGCAGCGAGGAGAGACGGCAGCGGCAATGTCCGCCGGGTGAAAGCCCTCCCCCTACAGTCCGACCTCGGCCTCCTCCTCCTCCTCGTCCTCCTCCTCGTCCTCCTCCTAATGCCCCTCCCCGTCCCCCTGCCCCTCCCCGTCCGCCGCCTCCTCTGGCAGCATCTCGTGCAGCGAGACGTCCTCCAGCAGCTCGCCGTCGTCGCACTGCACCGAGTATAGGCTCGACGTGCCGTCAAAGCCCACGACCTCGCCCGGGTACAAGGCGCCGCCGGAGTACCTGCTCGCCGACGAGGGAGTGTGAAGAGGCGCTGTTCACAGCAGCAGCTCCGAGAGAGGCACCAGAGCACCGGATGGCGCAGCGGCCTCCCACCTCGAACGGCGCGTCCTCCTCCTCGTAGCTGCTGGCCTCGGAAGGCCCTGCTGCGCCTTGCGGCGGTGCTTGCTGCGGCGGCTGCTCGAGCAGGCGGGCGGTGGTGTCCCGGAGGTGCCGCGCACGCGCCAGCGCCGCCTCCTCGGCGGTGGCGAAGAGGCCGAGAAAGTTCTGCTTGCCTCCAAACCCCACCCTCAGCTCGTACTTCTTGCGGCCTCGCTCCTTCGGCTTGAAGATCACGTTCCTGTAGCCGCTGCTGCTGCTGCTGCTCGTAGCCAGCGTCAGGCCCTCCCGCTTTGCCTGCCGGGCTGCCTCGGCGCCAGCGGCAGAGGAAGGCGCAGGTGGCGGCGGCGGCGGCGGTGGCGGTGGCGGCGCGATGAGATCGCTGGTGTCCCTGCCCGCCTCCCAGCGGGCGTAGAAGAGCGCGGCCTGCTCGGCGGTGGCGAAGCAGCCGAGGAAGGCAGTCTTGCCGCGAGTCTTCACCTCCAGCTTGTACTTCTTGCTGCCTCGCTCCTTCGGGCAGTAACTAACGCCCTTGTAGCCGGTGCTATTGCTGCTCGTGGCCAGGGTGAGGCCCTCCCTCTCCGCCTGCCGTATCGCCTCGGCGCCAGCGGCAGTGGGAGCCGGGCGAGGCTGCAGCAGCTTGGCGGCGTCGGCGCGGCCGTACTCTGAGCGAGCGTAGGCAGTGGCCGCATCTTCGGCGGTTTCGAAGTAGCCGAGGCGGACACGCTTGCCGCCATCCCGCACCTTCGCCTCGAACTTCTTTTTGCTGCGGTTGTAGAACACGTTCTTGTAGCCAGTCGAGCTTGTTTTCTTGGCGGCTGGGATCAACACGAGGCGCCCGGAAACCTGTGGCCGCCGATCGGACGCCATTTTGTCGAACATTTTCCCAAAGAAAATTCTTTTTTTTGAGGTTAGCCTTCTTTTTTTGAGCTTATTTTTTTGACATGCTTTGCATGCAGAGGGCCCGTGGCCCTCGGGCTCCGAACGAATAAAAAACTCGGGGAGGCGTGCAGGTTTGGCTAAAAAGGAACAGAGGTCCCCGCCCGCGCCCCCGTGTGCCGTGTGGTGTGACCCTACTGTCTGAATACGTTTTCCACGTATTCCAAATGACCTCCCAGAGGCCTGTATTCCACCCGTATTCCACCCGTATTCCACGTATTCCATGGAATACGCCGTATTCCAAGCTCCAAAAATGGACGTATTCCGTATAAAATTTTCTTCGCTCCGCGAATTCAGACAGTAGGGGTGTGACACGCCTGGGCATACTTAGGCTATCCCATAGGCGGTTGATCGGTCTGGAATTGCGTTGCGTCGTGACACTGCTGGCAGACACCCTCACTCTCCCCGCTGTCCGGCATTCTTACTTCTTCTTGTAGTCTTTTTAAAGCGTCGACGGTGCCCATCGTCGACATCCATTCATAAACCAGTGCACGGTGGAGTGCGTTACGGCGTTCCTTCCCGCACGGTGGACCGCCGACGTGCTCAGCGAAGACCGATGCTGTGCAGAGCGCCGCCATGCGGCCTAAACTAGCCAGTGTCCGCACTGGCCGCCCGCACAGGGCATGACTCGCGCCTCGAACTAACGTACCTGTATCTCACCAAACGCGAGAGTTTTACCAGTGCCAGGGAGAATGACAGTGACGTAGCGGTGCCTGCGGGGGGAGGGGGGGGGGGGTACGATTTTGCTGACCCCTTACAGGGGACTCATAGGCGCGTGGCGACTAAAAGGCGGCGGCTCGCAGACGCACTTGGACTTGGCAGCATCGCACAGCGTCGTGACTGGCCCCTTCTTTATCGTTGACCAGGCAAATGGTCCGCCGCACTTCACCGCCATTTCTCCAGCCTTCTTGCCGACCCAGATCTCGAAGCCTTTGAGATACTTCTTCGTCCTGGAAGGATTGATCTTGGTATCCGGGGTGACGGTCACGGAGCTGATGGGTGACCTAATGTGTCAGGGGAGGGGGGTTGCCAATGGTGAAATGCCACGAGAGGGGAGAGGGCGAGGAACGCCGGGGTGCCTTGGCGAGGAACGCCGGGGTGCCACGGGCTGGTCTTCTTCTTGCTCTTGCCAAAGGTCTTGCTTTTGCCGTCGGTCACCTTGGCCAAGAACTGCGAGCACGAGCCGTAGTGTGATAATGGCACAACCTAGATCTAGATAGTGGCTATGCGTGACGAGCCTTCTTGGCGAAGCTGGTGGAGTGGCCCGTCGACATCCGCGGCTTACTCAGCCCAAGTGCATCCGCTGGAGTCGGCGAAGAAGGCAGCGGCGAGGGCGGCGGCGTGAGTGGAGATGGCGCAGCATAGTTTGCAAGAATCAGGCTGCGGGAGATGAAGTAGTGAGAATCGTCGTATACGTTCGTGCCACCGTAGCTGCAGACCTTGTAGGCGGACCGGATCGGGTCGAAGGAATCCGGTGGCTCGAGCCGCACCACGACCCGGCCATTGTTTACTTTGCCCCTGGCGCCGTCTGGCGTGGCCATACCCGTTCGGCAGCGAGAATTACTGCCGCCGCGCCGGCGCAGTCCTTCTCCGTGTCGGGCTGGAAGAGGGCGATGGTGTCGTGGACGTAGAGGAACGTCAGGGTGTCGCCGTCGCTGAAACCGGCACCAGAGAGGGTGAGCGTCATCTCCACGCCAAGGGCGACAAAGCCGTACTGGTTGAAGCAGCTGGGGTTGGAGCAGCTGCCGATGGGCTGCAGCGGCGGCCCAAATGCCACGTCCGGCGGGGGCGAGGGGGGCGGTGGCAGTGAGGGCGGCTGTGGCGGCGGTGACGGCGAAGCAGAAGGCGGAGGGGGCGACGGCGGCGGCGGTGATGGTGGCGGCGGCGAGGGCGGAGGCGGTGACGGAGGAGGTGGGCTAGGCGGCGGCGGCGAGGGCGGCGGTGGCGAGGGCGGCGAGCTCGGAGGCGGAGGGCTCGGCGGTGGCGGGCTCGGCGGTGGTGGTGACGGAGGCGGAGGCGGTGGCGACAGCGGCGACGGCGAGTAGTCAGTCTCGATGATCACCCCCGCTTGATTGTGCACCCCTGTACCCCTGTGAAGGCTGCCAAGGGGCTGCCGACTAGCGTCAAGGTCCCTGTGGCCATAAAGATGTTGGGGCCGAAGCAGTCTGAACAGCTCCGCGAGAGAACATTCTGGTATACGCTGCAGCTGTCCATTGTCACTTCATTGCGTATGAAGATGCCACCACCTTGATACACTGCAGTGTTGCTGAAGATGTTGCATCCGTGCATGACCGCACTACCACCCGAGACCGCAAGGCCGCCGCCAGCATAGGCGGTGTTTTCAAAGAAGTTGCACCTGGTCAGCGTTAATGTGCCCCAGCTATCGAGACCAGCCCCGCCCCAGTATCCAGGGTCCAGCGTGTAGAGGGCCCGCCCGGGTCGCTACCGTCGCCCGCGCAGGTCGATCGGCTGACGACCATCTTATCGCCGGTCCATGCGAGGGAAAAGACGTTTTGGTCAAAGGAAGGACGGCATTCTGTCAGATAACTGAGGGCGAAACGAGAATATGGCCTCGAGATGTCACGGATTGAAGAAGCGTCTCTCGCCTTGAAAAACCGAGAAGCGGTTGGTCAGGCCATTGCCGGAGACAAGATAAGAACTTGACTGACAACTCTCTCAACTCTCTCACAGCAGACAGGCTCGACACAGGTGCGGACAAGATAAGAATTTAAACAAAAGAACTCTCTCTCACAGCAGACAGGCTCGACACAGGTGCGAACTGGCGCGTGCTAGTACTATCACCGGCACACCACCGGAGCCGCCTAAGCGACTCCGTTAAGAGCGGCAATGCACTTAGCACCGTGCACAATGCCGCTGTCCCCGCACGCTAGCTCGTTCACCGTCTGCCACGCCACGGCGGTGTGGAGAACGACAGACAAGCGCTGCATCTGCAGCCCGTGCCAGTTCTTGGTGGTCCATGTGACCTCATCGAGGTGCTGAGCGTGCGAAAGTTTGTTACTCAGCTGGTCCGCCGCCTGCCGAAGAATTTTGCGGACGCCGTCCCCGAAGCCGCCGAACGTCTCGAAGTCGAGCAAACGCAGGTCGCAATTCTTCTCCCGCGCGAACCGGTAGTCGCCCTTCTCGTAGCGGGCCGTCACAGGTGCCCCCGCCTCCGCCTCCCCCTCACTCTCCCCCTCCTCCTCTTCCGCCGCCGCCGCCTCCGCCTCTGCATCCTCCGCCTCCCTCCCCCCCTCCCCCACCTCCCCCCCCCCCAAGATAAGAATTTTACAACAAAACTGTGCAAGATAAGAAAGCTAATGCTGCTAAGCAGCGATGTTGCTACATCCCGTTCATACTCCTGCGACGGTGTATCAGTGTCACCTTTTATGCCTCTATTGGACCTGCAATCTTCGGTTGCATCGCGACTTTGATAACAACTCCGCTGGGTGCGCTTCTTAGCTCCCC